ACACACACACACACACACACACAAAGCAAAATAAAAATATCCCAATAGTACACATCCCACAGCCTGAATATTGAAATTTCCTCTGCTAAATTAGTCCATGCCCCTCAGTCTGCTCCCATGAAGTCTGGGGATATGAGCAAAATGTAGACAAATTTTTCTGCCACAGTATAACATATATGGTCTTTGTTTCCAATTGAAATCTCACACTGGTCTTCACCATATGTATTTCTATCAGCATTCTTGTCTTCTGATCTCCCATTAAACTGATCTCCTCATGGCATCCTAGATCTGTTCCTCCAGCACACATCTAAAACTTTACAAAGTCCTCTCACAAACCAGTTCTAAAGGCATTTGGGGGCTGGAGAGATAGCTCGGCAGTCTAAGTGCCTGCCTGGCAAGTACAAGGACCTGGGTTCAATCCCCATTACCGTATGCCATGCCAGGCCCAGAACCCCAGGAATGGTGGCACATGCCTGTAATCCCAGTACTGGGAAGGCTGAGACAGGAGGATCACTCCAAGTCTGAGCTACATAGCAAGACCCTGTACCAAATAAATAAATAAATAAAAGATTAAAAAATTTATGAATGAAATTTTTTTTTTTTTTTCCAGAACTGGGGATTGAACTCAGATCCTTGTGTTTGCCAGTCAAGCGCTTATCCTACTGAGCCATCTCCCCAGCCCTATGAATGAAATTTAAAGGCATTTGAGGAGGTTGTTTCTTTCTCTTTATTTCTTTTTTGAGACAGGGTCTTATTATGTAGTGTAGGCTGCCCTTAAACTTGTAGCAATCTTCCTGTTTCAGTCTCCTGGATTACAAGTATGCTCCACCACACAGAGCTCAAAATAAAATTTAAAAAGGACTGGAATGTAGCTCAGTAGTAGAACTGTAGGAAGCCCTAGGATTCAATGTCCAACAGAGATAGAAAAAAGAAAAAAAAAAAAAAATCAGTTCAGTGAAAGTAGATCCAGTTAGCATTACTGGTTTATCTGGTTAAGGTTTCCTCATGCTTGGTCTGTCAAATACTGTTGATTATTTTATTACAGGTCAGACTTGACAACTGCCATTAGTTAGTTGCACAATAACAGAGTAGATGCATTTGTCAAAGGTTTCATTGTCATAACAACTTAGGAATGCTTTTCAAGTTCTCTGCAATCTTAATACTCCCCTCTAAAAAGAAAAAAGAAAAAGTGTCTTTCCAATTGTGGCATTCTATGAGGCATTTGGCAGCCACATTTAAGAAGTACCTTTTCACAACAGCTTATTCAAGCAGTGTTTGCACTTTCAAGGCACGGGCTAACAGCCCATCCACGTCTGTAGAGGGCAATTGTCCCCTCCATTATCTTGATTTTGGCCTCTTTTTTGCTTCCACCTGAGTCAACACTAAAGCAATGAGGGTTTCTACATAGAATACAATTATTTTCAGGAAGTCCTCCTGACAGAATTTGGTTAATAATACTGATTTTCTCCATAGTTTATGCAAGTTTCTGATAATTCATCATTACCTTTGAGGTATTTACACAAAATAATCCCACAAGTACAAAATATCAATAAAATGCACAGCTGCTACCTCTATAGTTATAGTTCAGCATTCATTTATGCACCTAAAACAAACCTTTCTTCTTCACACTGATTTGACCTATTAACATTCTATTTTTCAATATATCTTCTCTTATCTCTGTGAAGAGGAATCTTGCTACAAAGTCAAATACATACTGACTATTAGGTCTTAAAAAAAATTTTTTTTATCTTTACTTATTTGGTATATGGTCTCACTATGCAGCTCAGACTCATAGTACCTCCTATCTCAGTCTCCCCAGTGCTGGGATTACAGGTGTACACTACTACACCTGATTTCTGGGCCAGCATGGCACACCTTGTGTCTGGGGCTGGCATGGCATGTGGTACTGCAGTACCAGGGATTGAAACCAGGTCCTTGTGCTTGCCAGGCAGGTGCTTAGACTGCTGAGCTATCTCCCCAGCCCCATGACAATTAATTTTATCAAGCTAGCAACACACTGACTTTGGTAATTAGAATCAGAGACCATTATGGCTAATCAAATAGCTCAGCGGACTGAAGCGCCTGCTTAGGCAGAGCACAACAGCCGGGATTTGATCCCCGGTGTGCCATTATGTGCCTAAAATCCCAGCGCTTGGAAGGTTGAAAACAGGTGGATCACTATGAGTCTGATCTACGTAGTGAGACCCTGTAGACCCTGCACCAAATACACTTAAAAAAAAAAAAAAAAAAAGGAAAGAAAAGAATCAAGGACCACCATTTAAAAATCACACACTTAGGGCCAGCCAAATAGCTCAGCAGATTAAACCACCTGCAAGCAGATGCAGGGGCGCAGGGGTTCAATCCCAGAGCCTGCTTTGCCAGCCCTGCCCTGGGGCACTGATACAGCAACTGAGACTGAGCCTGGTGGCATGCACCTGTAATCCCAGCTCTTGGGAGGCTGTAAACAGGTGGATCACTACAAGTCGATCTAGTAGTGAAACCCTGAATACCCTGTAGGCCCTTCCCTAAAATACAAACAAACAAACAAACAAAAACACCACACACTTGGTGGGCATGTGGGCACAGGCCTACAATCCCAGCACTTGGGAGGCTGAGGTAGGAGGATCAGCTGAAAGTTCAAGGCCAACCTGAACTGTATAGCAAAACCCTGTCTCAAAAAGACAAAAATAAACAAACAAAATACAGACTTCTTTTCTCCATTTTCCTTTTTTCTTTTTTTATAGTACTGGGGATTGAACTCAGGAACTTCACACTGGGCTAAAATGTCAGTCCTCATGCCCCCGTCTTTTTCAAAAAAATTGAGATAGTCTTGCTAAATTGCTTAGGCTGGGCTGAAATTTGGCATCCTCATAGCTCAGCCTCCTAGAGGCTAGGATTACAGGTGTGTACTACCACAAAGTGCTCATATTGCACATTTGTAAGCCTTTTGTTTGGGAAGGGGTTAGGTCTTTTTTTCTTTTCTTGTTTTTTTTTTTTTTTTGCGAAACCGGGGATTGCCAGGGAGATGCTTATTCCACTGAGCCATCTCCCCGGCCCCTAGGCCTTTTTTTCTACATTGTTGTCTTACTACTGAGTTATAAAGTTACTATAGAAATCATATATCTGAATTTTCTTTGCAAATTAAAAAGAAATAGATTAAGGGGCTGGCCAGACAGCTCAGCGGACTAAAGCACCTGCTTCCGCAGAGCAGCAGCCTGGGATTGATCCCAGGTGTGCTGTGCCAGCCCCGCCCCCAGGGCGCAGTGAGAAGGCAACTGAGACTGGGTGTGGTGGCACATGTCTGTAATCCCAGTGCTTGGGAGGCTGAATAGGAGAATCACTACGAGTGGGATCTGTGTAGTGAGACCCTGTAGATCCTGTACTAAAATACAAAAAAAAAAAAAAAAAGAAAGAAAGAAATAGATTAGACCAGACTGATCATTTTATAGGAAAAGTGAGACAACCAGGCTGTAAGACAAACATCTCTTTGACAGAATCCTCATCTGTAAAATGGGGATTCTACCAACAGAACTGACTGCTGATTTTCTAAAGTCCCCGCCCCAAAGCAGTAATTTTTTCCATGTTTTTCTGTAAAATGAATGGCCTGGAAACTTTTGTTTTCTAATGCAGCTTTTCAAAAGGAAATGGCTTTCTTCATCAAAAATCAGCCTAACTTTCCCCAAAGACAACCAACATCTCCATATCTTCCACATCATAATAACATTTTAAGTGTCTTCTTTTTCTAACTTAAATGTTAGAAAAGGGCCAACGAAAGGGCTATCTGCTATGGGGTCTTCCTTTTGAGGCCTCTGTGCCTCACAGATCACAGGGGTGACAGCTAGCCTTGTTTTTTGTTCTTCCTCATATGCCCTCAGCATGACACTGTGGGAACAGTGAATATAAAATGGATGGTTTATAAACAGCTTTGGTGTCCATCCAATGTGGTTATTGTTGTTATTGTTTTTGGTATAAGGAATCGAACTTAAAGCGCTTGCCTAGCAAGCACAGGGTCCTGAGTTCAATCCCCCATACCACACACACACACACACACACACACACACACACACACAACAGAATTGAACTTAGGACCTCACACTTGCCAGGCAGATGCTGAGCCAGTGAGCTATATCCCCAGCTCCCAGTGTAGCTTTAAACGTTTCCATTTCTGTCCTGTTCTTTAGATTCTGCTGCAAACTCCACTCTACCATTCACAAGCTCTTTTCCACCCGCCATTCAAAATGATAGGCTTTCATAGTAATATCTTACCTCACCTTTTGTCTCAAGTCCATCTGCTTCTACTCTGAACTTAAAAGGAAGACCAAGGACTGGTCAAAGGGTACTCAGGGGTTGGTATAGCCAAGACAGACCCTTGTAGGGTGTCTCAGTTGTCACTAAAACACCTGTTTCTCTTTTCTCTCTCCTCTCCTCCTTTTTCTTTTTCTTTTTTGACATGCAGTGTTCAGACTGGCCTGGAATTCGCGGGCCTTTTGCCTCAGCCTCTCCAGCAACTAGGAATATAAGCATGAACCACCACGCCCCACTGAATACTCCTGTTTTCTTAAAAATTTATCACCTAAAAGTCCCATCTCATTCTGAAAGTGGGTTGGACCAGCTACTGCACAAGCCCTTTGTCTGAGGCTTGCACATTACACACATGCTCATCCACAAGCGTCCATCCTCACACGGGTAGTCTGCTCAGCACATAGCTGGGGAAGCTAGGTTTTCACCTCTGTAAAGGAATGAGCTATGTTCTAGGTCCTCCGGATCCAAAATTCTACAAGTCCACAACCAAACGTGCAGGTTCTATTTCTGAGGTAGAGAAGACAAACCCTAGGGCGACCCTCGCACTCTGCGCGCATGCTGGCAATTAATACAGCTCCCTCCAGCCGGACTCGGGCTACCTCACCTCGGGCGCCGGGCGGTGGACGAGGCCCGGTGCCAGCTCGCGGCCCCGCCATACCCTCTTTCACCCTCGCCCGCCGCCGCGGGCCGCCTCTCACCTGGCACGCTGGCATCGCCTGCTCCTCGCCACACCGGAAACCATGGGTCCAGCCGGGTCTCACCCGCCCGACTTGAAGCAGACTGGCGGGGTTGAACGGGTACAGTAATGTAGTGCCCAGACACCGGTAACACGCCGCCTGGTTTCTAAGGAACCGGGGGCTCTGAAAGGGAGGGGCTGGACAGAGAGAGTACAGCGCATGCTCAGTAAAGGGGGTGGACCTGACAGGGGAGGGCCAGAGGCAAGGAGCTGCGCATGCTCGCTTGACGGGGGTGGGGCCTAAATAGCCCAACTGGGAGGTCCTGGTGTCTTATCATTTCCGGCGGAGGAAGCGGTGGTGCAATTGTTCTCATATGCTTGGTCTTTCTTGGTTCTGGGAATTGTCAACAATGAGAGAGTCCTAGAAATTGTGGTTGACTTTGGTTTTCCTATAATGTACCAATGTTTTGTTTTGAACAATGCCCTATCTTTGCAGAAGGCCGGGGTCTCTAAAACTTGTCGGATTTCCTGGCTTCCAGACTCTTAGTGACTTGCTTTTCCTGTTTTCTCCTATTCCTGTCTGGGCTTTCCTTCCTCTGAATGTTCGTTCTTTGTTAAATGTCGGTGCTCTTCTATACTCTGACCTCAATCCTCTTTTCCTTTGTACTGGATATTGAACCCAAGGCCTTGCTCATGCCACAGAATGTTTTCTCATGAGCCACACCCCCAACCCTTTTATTGTCTGTTTTGAGAAGCCTCCAGCTTGCAAGCTTGCTGCCTCAGCTTGTTGAGTAGCTGGGGTTCCAGAACTGAGCCACTGTACCAAGCTCCCCTTTACCTCTTCACTGTGCCTTATGTTGTCCCAGCTAAATAAACGCTACAGCCAGGCTACCCTTTGATTTATTAGACGGCTAAAGCATGGAGTAGGCCTTAACTGTGAAACTGGCTTTGTAGGAAAGGCAGAGTTGTTTCTGCATGAGGAGCTTGTACCTACTTGTCTCACTCTCCTCAGGCCTCCACATTGGCTGTTTTAGAAGGGCCTCCAGCCATCATTTCAGAGCAGGCTGTGAGGAAGGCATGGCCAGCTAACCTAAGGTAGGTTGTTCTCTTTGACCAGCTGCAGGCTGTCTCTGGATTGGGTGCACAAGACTTCTTACCAGCATGAGGTCCTCAAAGTGATGAGAAATTTTGTTTCTATTGCCTGCCTCTCCTGGATCGTGAATAGCCAAAGAAGGGGCGCCTGTGTTTTATCTGTCATTATTCAAAGCTCCATACTTCTAGAGCAGCGTTTCTGTTGACATGTTAGGCCAGCTAATTCGTTGGGAGAGGCCAGTAGCACTCTAAACCCAGTTGCAGCTATCTTTAGACACTGCTACACATCCCCTGGGACCAAAATCATTCCCTTTTGAGAATTCATAGTTTGGAGGAAAATAAACCTACTCCTGTTTTACTTATGAAACCAAGACTTTGGTGTTTTAATCTGGTATTCTTTTCCTCCCTTGTCCCTAGTCCTGACTTAATTCTTTGGGGCTTAAGGGTGTAACTCAGATTTAGAATACTTGGTGCACTCGAGACCCTGAGTTCAAGATCTAGTACCACAAAACACACACAGACACACACACACAGATCTAGGCTGAATGCAGCCAGGTAGTAGAGCACTTACCTAGATACATAGAGTCCTGAGTAATAGTCCTTTAAGAGGGACCTAAGGGGCTGGTGAGATGGCTCAGTGGTCTAAAGCACCTACCTAGAACAAGCTAAGCAAAGCACAGGGACTGCCCGCCGTTCAATCCCCCAGCACCACATGCCAG